AAAATCTCTGATACGTTGAGTTATGATCTTCTCAAAACTTCTGCGGAAAGTGAGTGAAATATCTCAAATTTGAGTTTACTAAACTAATTCATTATAAAGTTATGTTTAGAGATGAGTTAATAAATTTTGCAAGTCTTCATTTATATAGGACAGTTTGAATCGCTCCTCTTCCGTCCTATAGATCTAATTTGTGCAATCAACAAATGCACAGAGCTCATCAAAACAAAATGACCATTGATGCTGACATGTTCGATGGCATAACAATAGATTATAATTGTTACGATATTAGATATGTCTATTAACCCTATGATTTTCTGCGACGTGGAAATATGTCCGAGTGTATGTTTTAACCGCTTAAAAGAGTTTCAATTCGTTTGATTTTTATTAATGTGTTATACAAGGCCCATATTTTATCACTTAACAACGATAAAAACTTTTCTCATCGGTTAAAACATTTGCATATATATATGTGTCGCCGGAAGCGAAAGGGTTAATAGCGAATAATACAAATATGAGATGTATCTAATCATACAGAAAAACTAAAACACAAAATTTCTTTGTTTTCCTTTTTAACGCATCATTATTAAAGAAGTTCGGATGAGTATAAGTCAACTGTAAAATGATTTGGAAAAGATAGCCTTTCTTACTTTCGGAAATCTGATTTTAATTATCTCCGGCTAAGAATGAAAAGTATTCTAAACTTTTTTTTATTCATAAGCAAATATGTCCTTGAAAACGAAGACATGATTTAATATAGGTTATTTGCTAAAACAAAGGTTTCAAAGTTTTATGCAAGAATTTGGTTCGATAATTATGTTGTTACTCATTGATATCGAACATAAATGTATCTAGAAAAATCTGTATGTGTTCAGAGCTGTACCGAGATAAACTCGACTTATCAAATCGGAGTTGTGTATCCTCGCAATTGTCCACTTTTGGATTATTTAATTTAAATATATATAATTTTCTTTAGAGTTTATTGGATTTAAAAGATACATTTGATTATTTCCTCAAAAATGCTTTTAATGATGATAAGGTTTGATTATTAATTTTTAATTATTTGGTAAAAATTAGAAAGAAATCTATCTATTATATATTTAGATATTCAAAAAACGTATTAATTCTGATTTTGAATTTTTCATTAATTTAAATCAGCGTAGTCCAGAATACTTATCATTATTTATCGATGACAAATTGAAAAAAGGTGCAAAAGATGTAAGAACAAATCATTAGAAACAAAATAAAATTTATATACATATATATATTTTATTTAGCTTGGTGATCTAGAAGTTGAAATTGTACTTGATAAAGCTATGATGTTATTTCGTTATTTAGAAGAAAAAGATGTATTTGAACGTTATTATAAACAACATTTAGCTAAACGTTTACTATTGAATAAATCAGCATCAGATGATGCAGAAAAAAATATGATATCAAGATTAAAAACTGAATGTGGTTGTCAATTTACATGTAAATTAGAAGGAATGTTTAAAGATATATCTGTATCAAATACAACAGCAGAAGATTTTCGTTTATATGTTACACAAAAACGAGTAAATGAAAAAATTCTCGATTACTTTTTAATAAAATAATCATTTTTTATTTAATAGATTAATCTAAATGGTATCGATTTAACTGTACGAGTCTTGACAACTGGTTTCTGGCCAACACAAACAACAAATAATCAATGTAATTTACCAGCTATGGTTCGAGAAGCTTATCAATGTTTTCATCGATTTTATTTAAATAAACATAGTGGAAGACAATTAACATTACAACCAAGTTTAGGTTCAGCAGATTTAACAGCTATTTTTTATGGTAAACCAAAAGAAGATGAGGGTGGTGATGGAGAATCAAGACCAACAACAACAACAATGAAAGAACGTAAACATACTTTACAAGTATCGACTTATCAAATGGTGATATTAATGTTATTTAATACAAAAGAATCTTGGTCATTTGAAGTAATATATTTCATATATCTGAATTAGGGATGCACCAAGCTCGAGCCTCTCGGGCTCGATCAGGACGGGTGTGGGTGAGAGTGTGGGTGAAATGGATAGTACCCGCACTCACCACGCCCACTCACGCCTACGCCCACCCTGACACTCGGGCTCGATCAGGGCTTGGGCTCGGTACATCCCTAATCTGAATATAATAATATAAATATTTTTGTTTTTGTTTTTGTAAAGGAAATTCATCAAGAAACTGATATAATTGAAAAAGATTTGCAACGTGCATTATTACCATTATCAATGGGTAAACCAAATCAACGTATATTTCTTAAAGAACCTAAAACAAAAGAAATTCAACCAACCGATAAATTTATTGTTAATGATTCATTTACATCGAAATTATTTCGTGTAAAAATCAATCCAATAACAGCTAAAATTGAAAGTGATCCTGAACGACAAGAAACTCGAAATAAAGTTGATGATGATAGAAAACATGTTATTGATGCAGCTATTGTACGTATTATGAAAACAAGAAAACAAATGGCACATACACAATTAATTGCTGAAGTATTTAATTCCTATCAAATTAATTCTTATTATAAAAATGTTTTTGTTTAATTTAGGTTACACATCAACTTAAAATAAGGTTTATGCCTAGTCCTGTTTTTATTAAAAAACGAATTGAAAGTTTAATTGAACGAGATTATTTATCACGATCAACAGATGATAGGTAATTGAAATGATTTTTTTAATTTTCAATTATTATTGTTGTTGTTTTTTCTTTATTCAACAGGAAAATGTATAGTTATGTGGCATGAACAAATCAAAAAGCTCTTCTTTTTTTTCATTTGATATATTTTCTGTAATAAAGAAAATACACCACTGCCAATATCGATTGGTATATTTCTATATTTACTCATTTTCTAACTGTCATTGTCGATGGAATTTAATATTCTATCTTATTCTCATTTGTTCACTATCTCTTTTTCTGTTCCTTTTTTTTATTACTACAATTTTTTTTCTATGAAATATATATATACCCATATATATATATAGACAAAATCCAGATTTGTATACGTGTGTATTTGTGTGAACTGATACTTTAGAATTAATTACGATTCGAATGAATACAGAAGATATCAATCAAAATTTATTATTTATATACAATGAAATATTTAAAAAAATCTAGAGAAATACAAATAAGACGTTTCACAATATCTTTGTATTGAAAAAGGATCAAATAAGAAATCTATGAATATTTACTTGATTATAATACAAAACATTAAATTATTTCAACAGTCCTATTTACAACGAGTTTCTTTTCACATATTAATAAGGGATTTTCTAGTGTTGGGCCGAAAGAGCCTCGTCAGGAAGGAAATCTTATGAAGGAAAATGCGAAGTTAACGAAACTGAACGATCGCGTTAGTGATACACTTTCGTAAACTTCTCATAACTTCGGAAGCTTTTTCGTGAGATTTCGCAATTTTACGTTTTTAAAACAGACGGGTTGGCCCATCAGTAGATATTTCTCAAGAAGACAATTATTGTTCTAGTTTTGGTTTCTCGTTTTACCCTTACTATATGTTTTCATAAGACAATTTAATCATATTATTAAACAATATAAAATAAGAGTTTCGATCATTGAAATATTGATTGCGAACCAGCCATTTATCAATGTAATGTGTGTACAATGTCTTGTATATAATAAAAGGATATTACGTTTTTTAAAATGAATACAGTTTTAATCTCTTTATTATCGATCTGCTTCGTTTATATATTGAAAAATAATCAATTTATACATAAAGGGTACTCCAGAAGTTTTAAAACTTATTGTTCTCGCACATAATAAAAGCAAACTTTCAGAGGTTAGTGTACATATGTAGTACTACATAACTACAAAGTTTGATGTCTATCTCTTTTACTATAAATGAGTACATGAAAGAACATTATCATACACTATTTTTTCGATTTTCCAACAACATAAATTCATATGAGGGAATGTGATAATGAGAAAACAATTACTATTTCCAAGGTTTCTTTTTATTAACGAATATAAGAGAAAAGAAAATTGTTTTTTTTACCCTCGCATACTCATTTTTGTACGTGATAATTTATTGTATCAACAAGTAATAATCAAGATGATAATAAAATCGAGAAAATAGTGTATAATAATGTTTTTTCATCGATTCATTTATAGTAAAAGAGATAGACATCAAACTTTGTAGTCATGTAGTACTACATATGTACCCTAACCTCTAAAAGTTTGCTTTTATTATGTTCCAGAACAATAAGTTTTAAAACTTCTGGCGCATCCTTTCTACTGTTTATCACTAATCCAATATACAATAGGTAACATCGAATAAAACAAAAAAGTTATCGTTCATTGCACTATATTGAATATTTGACAAAGAGAATACAGTACATATGAAAGAAAACCTTGAATCGGATATTCGGTACTTAACTACAGTTTATATGATATTAAGTATATTTTATATAATTATTTATTGGTAGAGATTCATCTCTTCACATTACTATAATATTTAATTCACAGTATACGGATTTTTTTTTCATTCTAGAAGAACTTCCAGTATAGTCTTTTTGATCTTGAATGTCAACAATTCATCATTCTTGAATTTATTATTAGAGCCATAAGGCACTCAACTATATAAATATATGCAAATATATATATACATATACAAACTCATTTTATATAACTATTTGATTAATCATGTGAAAAGGTAAAAGAATATTTCAATGAACAAAATTTTCATAACTCCACTTTCTATTCAAATAAGTAGGATTTGTTGAATACACATTTTTTTTCTTATCGAAATATACAGATTACAACAATTAGTCAAGTTATTATTATCTAAATAATATTTTTTCTTCATAGTTTGTTGATAAAATAAAAGTCGAGACAATACATCATAAAACGTATAAGGTTAAATATTTACCTTGTTATTAAATCAAGCGTGATTGCTGTATATTGTTTTATATTCATACAACACTCATTCATATAAGATTATCTCTCCTTGATATCAAATGTCATCATCATCATCATCATTGATTCCTATTTCATTATCTTCGGATAATAAGGATAAACTTGAAAGTTTAATTAAAGACTTAAAAAAAATCAAATGGGAAAAAGGTGAATATTATTTTCATAATTTTATTGATTATTATCAATTACCACAAATAATACGTGTTGAACAATCATGGAATACAGAGTTTACAAAAGATCAATGGTTATATTTACAAACAATCTATGATCGATATTTAATTATTGCGTCATCGTTAACAAATAAACCAAAAATTTCACAAGAAAAATATCTTATACCAGATTGGTTTCAAGGTGAATGTCGTATATTATCAAAAAATCCAACATTAAAAAAACGTTGGTGGGTTTTTCAAGGTGCATTTGAATTATATCGTTTTGAATTACCACGTTTAATTAAAGTTCTTTGTCATACACCAGGACATATGAAAACAACAAAGGATGAATGGAAAAAAATTGTTCTATGTAAAAATGCTTATTTTAATGTTATACGTCGTGAAAAATATCAATCACGTATTAAAAATAGTAAAGATGAAGTATTAATTAGTGAACCAAAAGAAGCATTTATACTTGAAGATCCGAATACTAATGATGAATTTATAATTCCACCTGGTGTACCACTTCGTTTTGCAACATTAATTAAAGATCATGAATTACATACACAATATCAAAATCATAATGGTACATTCACATTTCCAGAAATTCTTATGCGTTATGAATTTCCAATTGATATTGAAATTCAAACACATTTACCAACTGATCTACTTAATTTTAAAGCGCAAATAAAATTAGAAAAATTTTGTGTTGCTAAAACAGTATTAGCTTATATTATTGATAAGGATCAACCTTCATTAGTTGAAATATCACCATTAACACAATTCACTATTCGTTGTGCTAAGTATTTAAAATCGATTAGTGCTGTTTTTTCTGTTTTTATTTTCTAATTATTTAGATGTTTAACATATGGTTTACCACAACAAGATCAAGATGCTGATGAAAAATTTGATGAAAAAGGATATCAATGTTATGAAGATATACGAAGTAAATTGAATAGTATTTTTGATAGTGTAGCTGAAATATATCGAGGAAAAATTCAAGTTGGTACTGAAGAAGAGGTATGTGTATTTTTGTTTAGATGTTAAAAATAATTTATTTATAATGTCTTAGATTGAATGTATTGAAAAAGCTTATGAAATAAGTATGAAAATGTGGACTAATAGTAAAAAACCAATTGATCAAACTTATTTGACAATTGAAGAAGCTTGTAAAGTTATTAAAGAAACTGTTAAAGAAGATGTTCCTGTTCCAGAAATGCAACCAAAACGATTTACTGTTCATACTAGTGCTGATCCAAGTAAAATATTTATTTTCAATATATTTGATACGATATATAACTATATATTTAGGTAATCCGTATAATGAAGTTATTGATTATGAAAATATGGATGCTTTAAATAAAAAGGCGGAAGAAAATACGTTAACAAAAGATAATAATAAATCAAAATCATCATTAAAAAGATCATCAAGTACTAAACGTGAACCACAAGCAAATCAAGTAAATAAACAACCATCACTTGTTGTTCAACAATTACCACCACCAATGCTATTACCACCGTAAATTATTTCTTATACGAAATATATATTCTTTTCCTTATTTTTATTCTTAGTGAATCATTTGAAAAAACAATAAAAGCTATTCCGGAAATACTCTATACTGAATTTCTTCCTCCTACAAAAGCAAAGTAAGAAAAAAAAAGATTTTGTTTTCTCTATTTTTCTTTTCTTTTCATAAATAGAAAATCAAGTAAAACAGCTCAACAGGAATCATCAAAATGACTTAAAGTTTAACAAAAATTAAATTTACGAACTGGACTTTATTTTCAAAGAAAAAAAATATATATAATAATAATAATAATAATAAAAAACACACACACCTACATACAATATGTTTCTTATAATAAAAGTAGATCAATATGAAACTATATATACAATATTAAAAGAAGATAGTATAATAAAATATAGTTTTTGTTTTTAAATTCTATTTACAATAAAATATACAAACTTAAATAGAAAGACTATCACATAGAATGAAAAGAATTGTAATTTATTTAACATTTTACATTATCATCATGATCTTCATCGATATGTTCAAGTTCTTCATATTCACCATGTTTATATTTATATCGTAACTAGAAAATAGATAGATTTATTAAAATAATAGACAAAGAAATTGTTTTACTTCATGCATAAATAAACATGAAACATTCATATCTAATTGAGCAGCACTTGGTACACTTTGTAGCGGTGCTAATGAACCGGATAAATAATTTGAATTTGATGATTCAAACATTTGTGTATGAATTCTAAAACGAAAGAAATATGATAAAATATAAGCAAAGAAAGATTTATGAATTTTATACTTTGAAAGAACACCATATGGTGCCAAACTTCGATAAGGTGAATCAGATTTTGTTATACCACTCTGTGATATTGAAGAAGATGGTTGTTGTACTGACATATTTACAGTTGTATATGTTGGAGAATATGCATTATTCAATGTTTTTGGCATCATCGAACGATTATACATTGATGATGTAGCTAAAAATATACAATAAAATCCAATTTTTATGTGTTCAATCTACATCTAATAGGAAATTTTCGGTTCGATATTAACAATAATTAAAATTATATAAATCTCAAGTCATTAAGGCAAAAAAATATAGACATTGAAACATCTATTATATTTCTAAATGATTAATTCGAATCTCAAGACATATTTATTATTATTAGTTTGATGAAATCCTTCTGACTGAATAAATTGAAAAGAAATAATTGAGTTAGCATTAGAATTCAAAAGAATAAGCAGTGAAGCTCTTAAGTATATACATAAGTTCGAAATATCGTTTCTTTTTCTCCTAACGTAGATTCAGGATTCGCGAATTTCGCTAACATACTTACAGGAAACTCGCCAGTGTCAATATGTGGATATATATGTATAAGAATAGCTCCTGGTAACTAAATCAAGGGGTTTCGACTATAATATGTTTATTCTGATAATATTAGGTTAATCTGTCACGTGTATTTTACAATAATCTTGTATTATTACAGTTGGCGAAAATTCACTGGATCTACACCAAATCGCGCCTGAACTTTCGCCAATGGCGAATGTCCTATTGGCGAATAGACCGTAAATTTATATATCTATTGTTCTATGTTTAACTAACGTCGAGTATGTTTATAATAATTCATTCATTATTTTTGAAATCTTACATTGTGGATCACTGTAGAAACTTCTTTGCATTTGACCGAGTGATTGTTGAAGCATCGATGATGTTTGCATACTTTCCACAGCTAAATTAATATTAATAAGAAAACTAAAATTACATAGAAATTTTCGTACCTCGTTCTTGTATTTTTTCTAAATAAACTTCGCATTGTTTTGGCATTTGCCATTTAGGATTTGTGTGATGAAAATGCATTAATGATAATTCAAGTTTACCATCATTTGTTATTCCACCATCATTTTGTTTTGCACGTATTGGTACAAACCACTAAAAGAAATTTTTTGTTAAATCAGATTACATCGTTTTGTTTCTTTTTCCTTACTTTCATATTTCCATGCTTGCCAATATCTAATTGTGCAAAACTGCAAACATCTCCAACACCTTGTACATCTACAGTATAATTTCTTAAGAAATCGATAATTTGTAAAGATTTTCGACGTAATTGAAAACATAAAATTATTGGTGTTATGAATGGACTAAGAAGTTCTTCAAGAAAATAAACCTATAATTATAAAAATAAGATAGAAAAAAATAAAAATTTATTCTTCGAAAATTTACATATTTTAATTGAAACATTTGTCCAAATTCAGCTTGAACATAATCTGTATGTGCATGATCTTTCCATGAATCAGGTTGATAATGAACTTGTGCAAGAACAAGTTGTAACATTTGTTCTGGATCAAATACAGCATTCTGTTATGTAGGAAAAAAATGAATCTTTTTTTAATACATTAAAGTTTATTTTTACTTCATCTGGTATTAAAGATCGACAAATACCAAGTACAACTCCTAGACCAGTCATTAATGTTAACATATGTTCAACATTAAGAACATCTTCATCATAAATTGTTAATATAATTAAAACAGCTAATATAGCACCGGATGTAAAACTAACAAATCTAGAAGATAAAAATAAAATAATAATTAATTAAAAATAACAAAACGAAAAAAAAAATATTCGTACTTTGCTATTTCAACAATACTATAATTAACAAATGATGACATATAACTCATTGCTGGTTTATAACCACAATTTAAACGTTGATTTAATGAATGATCAAGTTCATTAAAATGACGTAAATAAAGTCGACCATAATTACTCCAACGACGGCTACCTAATACACCTGGTTCACGTCGAACAAGCTGAAAATTTAATTAAAAATAAGAAAAAATATTTCATTTGTAACATTATTGTGTTTGTTTACCTCAGTATAACCATAGAATAGATTTAATACTTGCCAAATGAATATAAATGGTGAAAGAAGAAGATTAGCAACACCATAGAGAAGAATAAAACGTGATAACCTAAAGAATTTCATATGTAAAGAAGTAATCAATAGATAAAACATACTGTCGAGCTAATGCTTCACGTTGACTATGAATTTTATATTCTTGTCGAAGGTGCCATCGTTGATCAAATGGTGAATATGGACCCCCTATTGAATTATTTAATATATTAGCTGAGTACAATATATCAGAATATTAAAATCATCTTTGGTCTTTTTATCAAATATATAAACATTGATGATAGGTACTATGCAAAAATTATAGATCATTTATTCACTTGAGTGATAGAATGGAACAAGAAGACAGCTGCATGTCTCATACTTATTTCTCATTTGAATATTATTTAAATGAGAAAAATAATTTTTTCATACATGTGCACCAAATGTCATATTCGATACAAGAGTCTATATTTTACAAATCTTCATTCTTTCGTAAGAAAGTTCTAAAATATAGATTCGGATTGTAAAAGATGGAAGATTTTAGGAAACGAAAAGCGGTTTCGGATGATCGAAACCTTACTCATATCTATCCAAACTTATTATAGCCACTACAAAAAGAATTACTTACAAAAAAGAATTAAACGTAGATTAAATTTGAAACCACTTGTAAATGAAATTCTAGTTAAAAATTATATGTATAAATATATTAAGTCATATCATCTCAAACTTACATATCACCAATAATAGGTAAATGTAATTTTGGTGGTAAAATTCCTTTGTTTACTAGTGCAACTTCATAATTTTTAAAGCGTAATAATCGATTATGAATATCTAATTCTGTTAAAGTTGATTTATGTATACATAAATGATGTGTTCGTTGTGCGATTAATAACCGTTGTTGTACTTCATGCCATGTCATATTTGGTAGATCGTTCTAAATATAAAATTCTAATAATTATCTATTAATCGAATTAATTATTTCAAACCGGTTTTATATCCAACGCTTGAGTATAAAACGCTCGAATATTGAAATAGGAAAGTAGATTATATAGCGCACGACATAAGCGATAAAGCCAATAAATGATTGAAAGTATAAGACATAATGATGTAATTAAATGCATACTAAAAAAGATTAGAAATAATAATAATGATTTTTTTGTAAAAATTACTGATGAAGACATTGTTTAGGTGATTGAATGACTTGATTTATTTGTATTTTATTAGTTATATTTCTTGCAAATGGTGTTGAACGAAATAGAAGTGGATAATCAACACATTGAACAATAAGAGTCGTAAATGAAACGATAAATATAAATTGTCTATAATTAAAAAGAAAAAAACGTTAATAAAAATAATTAATTTACAAGTTTTACATACATAAGGCCGAAAATTTCTGAAAGAACTATACAAAAAAATCCGTGTTTTTGATGATATTGATATATTCGAACAAAAAAATCGTCAAGATCTTTCTGATGACTCCATTTTGATTCTAAAATTAAAACAACAACTAAAATTAAAAATAGTTTAGATTTATTTTTCTATACGTTTTTCATGGGTATTTTCATCTTGTGTTTCAAATTGCATATATGGAGATAATGTTTGATCTTGACCTTCAAATGTATCATTTTCTTCATTATTAACTGGTCGATATTCCATATTATTAAAAATCTAAAAGAGAAAAAATGATACATTAATAAAAAAGAATAACAGTTATGTAATGTCGATATTCTTTCTATTATTATTTATATGGTATTTTATTTTAAATAGAAACAAACGGTAAATTATTCAAGAAATGCTTCTCTACGAAATCATCTCAACTATAGGAAAATGTGTTACAAATCGGATAAACTGACATTCATATGCTAAGACAACTCCTTCATTGTGATAAAAAGAACGGACCGATTTTTATAAAAAATTCATTCGATTACAGCTATATTAATTGTGCATATGTATATGAATAACACAACGACATATAATATCAAATGATGTGAGAATAACTTAAAAAACTCTTACTTTCTTATCTATTCGCAACTAAAAGGAAAAATAATGGCGTACAATAAACTAAATAAAAGTTTAACCTTTGTTTAGATATGATTAGCATATTATTATTTTGCACTTACAAGAAGGTAAATCTTCTAAAAAATTAAATTGGAAATTTCAATATCTGCTTCTTGCGTAACTTACCAACTTCAAAGATTTTTTTTATCTCTGTTAAGATAAATAAATTCAAGCTAAAAACTCAGTCCAACTAAAAAATTAATCTGATGAAACAACCTCTGATAAAGAAATAGCTGTTCAAAAATTATTATACTACTAACCTATCAGTTTTTCAAAGTGTCACGAGTTGATATTACGAAAATATATCTGATATATGTGTATAGCTATGACTCATTCCCGAATTTCAATTTATCAAAAAAAATAATATTTTCTAAGACTATCTTCGTTAATTATTTCTCATTTCAAACTATTCTGGTATTTTATTCACTCTTGTCAAGGTTTTCACACCTAAATCTCATAATTATGCAAGAACTTAATTAAATTGCGATGATAGTCTTTATCTCTTTATAATAAAACAGTGACACTTAATCATTTTGTTGAACCCTAAACTATACAATAAAAATACGAAAAAAAAAATTTTTAAAATCTTTTTTGAATAAAAAAATATTCGCAAAGAAAATCTAAGATTAATTACCATTACACCAGCTGCCGATTAACTCAGATGACCCTCGATGCATACTATTGGTTAATTTCTAACCAATGAAAAATAACAAATCGAACCTCTTTAAATATTTTGTATTTATTTAATTTTTACTATTTTAGAATCAACTTTCTATTTCATTGGTAGTCATTTTATCCATATATCTAAACTTGTCAATCAAGAAAATCAAAAAAAAGAAGAAATTTTTTTTTCATCGAACTTTACCCGACCTTTCCTTTAGCTATAATCGATACATCCTTCCTTTGAGCATTGCTATTGGCATCGGGTATCAAGAAAGAAAGTAATTATTGTGTTGATGGCAAATAAATTCAATCCTTATCAAAGTGTACCAATTAAATTAGTTATTGTCGGAGATGGTACTGTTGGTAAAACTTGTATGTTAATCTCATTTACAAGTAATACATTTCCTGAAGAATATATTCCAACAGTGTATGGATTATATAATTGATATTCTTGTTAACAAATTTTGTTTTTATCTTTATTATAGTTTTGATAATTATACATCGAATATGATTGCTGATAATGTTAAAGTATCACTTGGTTTATGGGATACAGCTGGTCAAGAAGATTATGATCGACTACGACCATTGTCATATCCTCAAACCGATGTCTTTGTACTTTGTTTCAGTGTAATTAGTCCAACATCATTTACAAATATAACAAATAAATGGATGCCAGAAATTCGACATCATTGTCCAGATAAACCAGTTATTTTATGTGGTTAGAAAAAGTTTTATTATGAAAATAAAAGCTGATGATTTTGTTTAGGTACAAAAATTGATTTACGCGAAGATCGAGAATTTGTTAATTTGTTACAAAAACAAAATCTTCAGCCAATTAAACGTGAACAAGGACTACGTTTATGTAAAAAAATTCGAGCTTTTAAATATGTTGAATGTTCAGCATTAACACAAAAAGGTCTTAAACAGGTTTGTTGAATATTAAGAAATCTATTTGATTTTAATTTTTCGAAATTTATTTTAAGGTATTTGATGATGCTGTTCGTGCTGTACTATCACCTAAAACAACGAAAGTTTCCAAACCTTCATGTCTTTTATTTTAAATAGAAGATACGAGAATGTTAGAATCTCATTTTATACGTGTTTTTTTATCTTCCAACTTTTTTTATGCAAAAAAAGATAATAATGTTCTCAAATAATGCATGGCTTTTGTTTTGTTATTATGAAATAAATTTTTTTTGGATATATATATAAATAAGATTATATACATCAGAAGCTGTACGCATTTACTTATGAAGAATATATTGAATAACATTAGTTCGCTTTTGTAGAAAAGATGATTGACGCTAATCGAAAATCCTTGTTCACTCGATCTAATGGACTTTATATCGAGAAACAATTTTAGATCTATTATAATAATTACGAACGTAGATTTCATTTCTGATTTAGATATCCAATGAATTAAACCTCTAAGATTTTCTTGTCTTCTCATATAATCGATCATTATTTTGTTTAATATAACCGTATTCATCCTTATCATATATGATGATAATTACTTTTTTTTCTCTCAAGATGAGAACTGAATAAAATAAATGAGTTGTTGAACACGATTTACTTTTCGACATTTACAAGAGATGTTAATTCAAGAAATAGTCAACATTCTTTGGTATATTATTTTGATCTTTAGACATGACAGAGTATATAAGAGAAACCCTTGAAATTTAAATTAAATGAGGACAAAAAAATGTGCAGAACTGTCAAATATAAATTTTCAAAAGGACTCAAACATGTACTTTCTTCACGAACAAGTCATATAATTGTATATATATAGAATAGAATAAATGCAATTTCGGTACATATTTCACCTAATCAAATACTCTGTTTTATAGGAAATAGTTTATTTGTAACAGTCTAGTCTTTGTACCCAGAGGGCTCAGAATCGGAAATTCATACTTTTATTAAAATATTTTTCGAGTTATAATATTTGTCTAGATTTAAGGTCTCTATATTACCTTCTAATTTAATACAATATCATTGTTTTCTTAGGGCTATTATAATGAAGCAAGTTTGGAGAACATCGCTTCAAGATAGAGGTTTTTTTGACCTGTATAAATTATTGAATATGTTAATAAAGATAATTATATAAACGAAGTTATAATGGATAAGATTCAAGATGACATAGAACTTATGTTACTAACAGTTTCAAACACAATATCAAATGGTAGTGGTCGAAATTTTAATTTTTTTGATAAGATATCGTTTTCAAAACCGAACAATATTTTTCATAGATTCTACTTCTCGGAATTGAATATTTCATAAACAAACACTCTTTTTATTCTATTCACGTGCGTCATAATAGAAAAAGCTAAAAATTGAATAGATGAATGTTCATTTCTTATTCTATTGCCTAACCTTTTTGTAATTTAATACTTCATAATTAAAAGAAAGCAGATATTAGTTTATTATTCTTCTAATAGAATCTCATATATACTTTCATAATTGAATATTCAATGATGTGCATGACACTTGAGTAAAACCAGAGATTATTTGTAATGTATGACGTATAGAGAGTAAAAATATAACTGATGGAATCAAAAAAAAAAAGATTGTATATCTTTCTAATATACATATGACTCTACCATCGGAAACAAGATATGATTTTGTTCCAACAGCATCAATTCTAGCATTTATTTTTATTGGCATAATTTTTCTTATTGGCCTAATTGGACGATGTCTCGCTTTAAATCAATCAACAATTCGTAGTGCACAAAGTTTAGATTTAATGATTTATAGAATACCGCCAAGAGCAAATTCTTCAATGCAAAAAATACGTCCATCAATAGATATACAATCTGATTTAACTGGTATTCCAATTACACCTACTCCAATTCAGCGAGGACCAAAAAATCTTTAAACTTAATAGCATATATGTCTATTCTTTTATTCAATAAAAATGCTTATTGTGTGTTCGTGTTTATTTTATAACAATGGTAATATTTTATATCACTTTATTTTAATGATACTTTCTTCTTACTAAAAATAACGATGCACTCAGCAAGAGCATATTTTTATTTAAGTTCTATTTTCAGCAGCTTCACCAAGATGTCTGAATCAATCGCCTAGCCTCTCTTGTGTTGATGAGATTGCTTTTATTTAAAAACTCGATCTGGAAGTGAGAAGGTAGTAAAACGAACTTATAATCAGAATATACACATGGGTGAGTACAGACAAAAACATGCATAAGCTAAAATCTTGACTCTATTTTTCACAAAAGAGCAAGTAAAGAATACACGTCAGATTAAAAAATAAAACTGTAATAAATATTATAATGTTTATTAAAAGAATTAATTTCTTTTCTTTCTCATAAATGCATTCTCAATAAAATGTTTCAATTCTTTAACCATACATAAATTTATTCATCCTAATAATTTATAATCTTTACGTAAGAAAAAATCCTCCTGACATTTATTTATTGCTATGAATACATGTCATCTTTACTGTCTAACTTATATCATTAAATGACAAAGTAATGATAAAAATAGCGTATGCAATAACCAGTCTTATAAATTATAAAATAATTATTTAAAACAAATTCATTTCCTTTCTTACCTAAGGTCGTCATTCTATCTGCTACTAATGTCATAGTTTTATTATAATGTTTCAACGAATGTATCGAGCGGTAGAAATATAAAAACTATGATCATATTGTATTCAATTAGTTTCTTGAGAGTATATGCATTCATATTCAATCTGCTATCTTGACATTTTATATTAACTCAAAAAAAGGACTTTTTTAGTGCTTTCTTATTTTTAATGGGAATTCTTTTACTTCTTTCTTCTAGTATATTATCTATGAATCCTTTTGCATTCTATTTGCCCTTCAGACATAGTCACAGAAGATTAACTAATCTTTTCTTAGATAGATTTGTTTTTCTATTCTAGTTCTTTAATCTTCATTTTGTTTTTTGTAATACGTCTTCTTTTTAATACACATTCGCATATCTAGTACCCGGTTACATACGAACAGATCAGTATATAATTAGTTATTTTTAGTTCCATGACTGAGATCACTATTGTATTTTTCAATTAAAATTCATTTATTACAATCAACTACAGTAAGAAGATTTTTTTTTCTTAATTATTCTAAAATGTTCTATGTCACGCTTTATTCGTGAATTATTCTCTGAAATATTCGCATAACGTAATAAACATAAGGTGGCCGAGCTTATATTTATAAATATTTAAGAAGAGAGCGTTCCTAACGCATATATATCTACATATCGACAATATGTCACGTCCAGTATAATGAGTTTTTAGTAAAATCTTCATATTTATGTTAATAAATTGTTCCGTTTTATATTGACACAGAGAAATATAACAGCCAAAAAATATTTCTTCCTTTACAATAAAGACAAAATCTATTTCAGAGATTCTCGTATGCATTCATTGTCTAGGAAAAAAATTACCAGTCACTATATATTTCATTTAACACAACTCAACTTTACAGTAAGATATAACTAACCGAACACATTTGTAACAGGTTTTCAATGTAAAATCTCAGTACGACCATCATGATTTATGTACGCATGTGTTTTTCTTAAGACTATATATCTGATTTAGAATAGCATTTATGTCAAATAAATGCTGTCACATATAAATCAACTTATAGATCGAACAGATACTTTTTGGATTGTTCGTAGGAATAATTTCGATAGACTTCTAACTAATAGAGAAGTCTTGAATATTTTCGTTTTAGTACAGTTATTTATGCGACAATTTGAAAGATATCTTTTTTGAGTATTCTATCATTGTAATAAAATATTGATAAATACGGCCCTTCTGATCTGTATAATCGACCAGTTATATCAAAAAAAGTCATATTTTTAACAAGTTTCCATTGTTATAGAATTTATTATTTATATTGTTTTAAATTACAGAGGTACTTCCATTATTGAACATTATTATAGATTCGATATAATTTATCAGTATGTCAACTTTACAATAGAAAAAAAACATATATTTCAAGTCAAGTTTATTGAAAATGTACTTGACAGAAAAAACATGCAATCTATCGAGAACAATTCTCTGATCTATAAAAATGAAAGTCTAGGGAATCGAGTAATCATCTGATTAGAATGTTGAAAACATTTTTCATTGTATATGAACTTTATTCTACAACAGCTTCTTTATAGCGCTTCATAGACATATAGAAACTTTTTTTTTCCACTTAGGTGAGATACAAAAAAACACATTTGTTATATGGTAACATGAGAATAGGAAAAAAATATGATTAACTATGCAAAGTGGGAGAAATTAAAAGAAGAAGTTTTTCTCGAATGAACTATATTTTCATTCCAATGATATAAACTCAGTAAGTAACTGCGTCTTCTTTTTAATTACATAGGTTTTCATGATAATTAAATTTATTCATTTTTTTTCGAATATATTTTACAATTCAACAAATTGATCAATATAGTTCATTTGTTTGATACTAGATTTTTCTATCAAATATTTATTTGTAACCTACTAAATTTCATAGATAAATTCGATAACGATTTTAATAATAAACCAATCCTATCTTTCCGTCAATTTGACATAATACATTTATCATTTGCTTGATTTCTAACAATAACATGTAGATTATCAATCAACTGAATCTTGACGTGACATACATTAGTAGCAAAAATATTTTCCAAGATTTATACTTACATCGTCATTTTCCAGTTTTTCTATCACATTAGTTGTTTGGGAGGAGCTAATTTTCTTTTACTCAAAATTCAAAGTATTAGTATAAATTATTCGAAATATATTTAGAACATTATTAGCAAAATTTTCTTCTGTTATTGATATCTCTATGAATTATATCTTTATATAATGCAAGAATTAATTATTTCTTTGAAGAGAGCATGCATATACTTGTTTATAATAAAATCATGCGCGCACTATGCGTATTTTAATTAACGGATATAATAATGTAAATACTCTTCAGCATTCTATTTAAATTAATGAGACTATTGTATTTCTGTTACATATAAGATAATATCTTTTTTTTTCTTCAATAGTATACCTGTAACTTTCATACAGCAAATGCCGACCTTATATTATTTGAGAAAAAGTTCTTTGTAGAGTATTAGATATTCTTTTCTATTACGCAGACATTTGAAAGAATAATTAGTTTAAAGTATTTAATATATATACATTTAGAATGACCTTATTCTCAAATAAACTATAATATAATAATTAATATTTCATTAAAAATTATATTTTTTTGACATTAGTCTAGTATTGATCTTTAAAGAGGTATTAATTCTATTGTAAGTATATAAAGACTCTAAATTATAGATCAACGAGTCGGAATAAATTAGGATCATAGGAAAATATTTGAAACCGTTTAACTATATAGGATCTGGCTTTCTTCTATTTTTGATTAAGAGACATTCTAAATTGTTAAAACGTTCTATTCATTCCAGAAATAGAAATGTTTTTAGTAGTAAGTATGGAAGAAACTCATCTCTAGCAGGAATCTTCTTGAAATAGACTCATGCATCTGATAACTTAATGCTTTCGAGTTCGAATAGTTTCTGAAATTACTTATCTCTAACTATCAGTACGTAGATTTCTTTAGATTCATACTAAAATTGACAGATATTTATAGTTTTGACCTAGATGACTTTTTTTCTCTCATAGAAAATATGCACGACAAGATGTTGATGATGACTTATATAGACTAGACATATTATTTGTTAAATTATACTCGACAACTAACGGTCTGCCAATTTTTCTTTGTCTCAATTTGAAGAAGGATATTTTTGTCATAGTAGTACAATCAAAATCTAATTATTCATCGTTGCTACCAGCATAAAGTTCATTTTTGCTAGGATGAATCTATTCATTATTTTAATACAGTATATTACAGATTTATTTTACTCTCCATATTTTTTAGTGAGACATTATCGTTGTTTAAAAGTAAAAGTTTAAGATGACTGATTAACAAAAGAACATCTTGTAGTTAGTTCAGATTCCGTGTTTTATCTATAATCAAATCTTGATAAGGTATGCAATAGGTACGTATTCAAATACCCTGTATAACGACAGAATACGTTTATTAATGCTCCTTCTTATCATCATCATTTCCATATGCCAGATCATCAAAACAAAACGATCACACAAGAAACGACATATACGAAAAATGCTATGCCATATTATAGTTAGCTATATATTATCATAACTTTTTGTGAGCTACTCTGAGAAAATAAAGATAAGGTAACATCCCTAATAATAGTATAAGCAAATGGGAATGAATCTTTATAAATATATTTTATGTCTTATTTGTTCGATCCACTTTTAACTCCAAATCAGATTAAAGTTTACTCACAATATTTCTATTCGTTATTCGTCGTACTATAAAACGTACACAAAAAAGAGCAGAAGGAAGAATGGGAACATAGTGCATTCATGATCATAGCAGGATAGTATATCAACAATAAAAGACGAAATCAATAGTACTATCAATATATCATTTTTACTCATCAATCAGATTAGAGATCAAGCGAAAATTTGGTGCTTTTTTTGGATTTATGAACAGTTAATACGATTGTTAAAAATAGGTTTCAATGTATCTCCAAAGTCAGTCTAGAGCAAGTGAGTAGTACATAAAAAAAGAACATTTTCGATTTTGATATTTTCCGGCTTAGAAATAAATAACTAATATTTGTTTTATTCTCATTTTCTCGTATCTTGTTAAGAAAATTTGCATGTTTTGGCAGAAAAAGACTTTAAGAAATATAACTCATAGAAATTTACTTATTATTAAAAAAAAAAGCCATACATAGTTAAATACTTCGAGAGATTCTCTTTTGACATATAAGAAGAAAGAAATCCTAGTGTAAAAGTTATTTAATAACTAAGATTATTTTTTTTTAATATGACGTCTGTTGTTGTTCCTATATTTTATTATCTACACAAGTTCGAAGTACTTGAAATAACTTTCGGCTAGTACATATCGTATACTTTAGATGTCCTTCCTGTGCTAAAGTATCGCCAACTTTAAAGAGACTTTTAAAATGTATTTAATTATTAAACTAAAAAATATCGTGTTAATATAAATAAGTATAAAAAAAGAAAGTCCCTTGTAGTATGATTTATTTTTCAAAAGCAGTTGGAGATATTTCGTGACATCGCATTTTCAACTGTGTTTGACGTCTGTGAAGAAGAGCTTTTTATTAGAACAGACTATCGAATAATGAATATATTAAGTTCTGTGTTTTTTCCTACTAAATCATAATTAGTATTCATATCATAAAGTTCGTCGTATTAAACATTGAACTAGTATAAGATTCTTGCAATTTCTTCTTTTCTTCATTCAATATAGAGTAAGAAAAAATCTGACTACGTGTTATATATCAATGTTAGATACAGAATTAACTAGTGTTAGATCTTTTTCTTAACAATAAACGAATAATTCTATTGAAAAGGAATTTAGTTATGTATCCTTCTCTTTCGGAAACTTAGTAAGAGGATAGAAATGTTTCAATGCACGTGACCTATAACGCTAGAAATCTTATGAAGTATATGCCTGGTTTTATTTCAAACAAAAATCATCTATTTGATAAATTAATAATCTTTGAGTAGGATAAACGTCAATAGAAAAGCATGCCTAAAGACAATTATTATTAATATGTCTAAGAGAATAATATTTTTGATGATAATACGATAGAATAAATAATCTTTTTACATTGCATGTTAGTCTTGAATGCCGTTAATATAAATCTTTTTAAAAATAAAATACAATCTCTTTAAGAGAGCACTTATGACAACATTGCGGAATCCAGGCACTTGACAAAAAAGTTATTTTTTGTTTAGTACTTCGTATATTGGAACATTGCTCGATATTATCATGGAGTCTCTCTTAAAGATTCACTATTTATTTTTATTTTTCTATATTTTAAATATAGAACAAAAGGAATTTTATGATTTCCTTCATGTATAAATACAGATTAAGTTATATTTCATTCAATAGAAAGTACTTGAAAAAGATTAGAAAAATAACCGATGCGGCAGAATAGATGAACGTCTCGATTTTTGACATATATACTTGTTTTTTTTCTTCAAAAGATAGCCCGTGAAATTCTCTACAAAATCTTATAAAAAGCGCTCTTCGATCGAGTAACTATAGAATTATATCCGATCAATACTTCAAGGCTCCACAATGGACTACCTTCAAACGTATATTTTTTTATAAAAGTAATTATTTCATTTGTTTTAGTGACACAGATATGAGACCGAAATCTAAAGCAAGTTTCCTGGGTTCTCATATATACTCTTTCTAACAGGATTGTGAGGGTGCAACACTCCACGTTCTCTGAAAACGAGTCAAAACCATCGATAGTTCTCGTTATACACGTTATGCGTTGCAGAAAAAAAACGACTTTTCAGCATTTTGTTTCCATCGAAATGATAGAGAAAACATTTTTCTTCTACTTCATAATAAAAGTGAAGACGTTATGACTTTCCGTGAAACAACGGAATTAAAATTGTGATGTATCTCAATGAAAGATTCTCAGGACGAGAATGGCGCGAAATAGAAAAAAGATTTTGTTCAGGTAAATTTAGAGTATGTCAAAAAGAACCTATTATCTCAACTAATAGAGCTTTTTGTAGACTACAAAATGGCCTATTCACTCTCTTTGTTTGTGCTTAAAAAAGCGGCGCAGACTCGTTACTATAAAAAGCAGTACTTTAAAGTGTTGATTGCATGTAATTTTATAGTTACTCATTCGAACAGCTCTTTTTATAAGATTTTGTAAAGAATTTCACAGACTATCTTTTGAAAAAAAGTCATGTATTATATGTCAAAAACTGAGAAGCTCATTTATTCTGTTACATCCGTTGATTCATAGCGTATGACTTCGACGGGTAAACATAGAATATTTATAGTTCAAAAGAAAACATTTTATCATGTTTTCTTTCTTTTTGCATCATGGTTGAATAGAACACATCATAATGCGTAGGCAAAGAGAATATTTTTAAACGTTACAGTTAAAATTCCATTTAACTTAGTAGATTAAGAATATATTTAGTTTTTTTTATAATATCATTCAGTTAGTTTGTTATTCAGTTAAAATATATTTAAATATTTTTTAGACATTTAAACTTATATTTATTCTACAAAATTAAAATAATAGAAATGAATACTATTAAACTATTTCCTACAAATGAAACTATTTTTAATAAATCATCTTTACATCCAGATACTTTTGTATTATTTGCTGGTCATCTTTTAATTGTATTTTATTGTCTAATATTTATTTTGGGTTTTCTTGGTATGTAAACAAAAAGAGAATTTATACATTAATCTTATATATATATATATTATTTTAGGTAATTCAGCAGTTATTTTTGTAGCTATTCGAAAAAGAAAATATCGTAATGTTACTAATTGTTATGTTATGAATTTAGCATTTGCTGATTTATTATTTTTAATACTTTCAATTCCATATACTACCTATTTAGGTTTAGTAGATAGTTATCCATTTGGTAATATTATCTGTAGAATTTATATGTATCTTGCATATGTAAGTTTCAAAATGAAAATAAAACAAAAATTTTATTCTATTATTATTTTTAGGTATTTTTATTAGCTACGTGTCACACACTAGCTGCAATGAGTATTGATCGATATTTATATATTGTTTTACCAAGTTCTAAACTTCAATGGCGTACATCGAATACTGCTTTTAGTGTATGTTTGATTATATGGGCTAGTAAGTTAATGACAAATAATTTTAATGAATAACAAAATTATGCTATAGGTTCACTTGGTTTGATTGTTCCTTATCATATAACTTCACATGTAATGTCCTCGAATTTGAAAACATGTGGTGTGAATGATCAAAAAAATTTTCTTGTTTGTTTCTTGGTATTTTGTTCTTATTATGCTATTCCACTTCTTATTATTATTGTGTGTTACACGAAATTAGCGATGCATGTTATGCAATCAAATCAAACTATTGTTAATCAAATGAATTCTGTAAGAAGAAATACAACCAAATCTCGAAGAGATTTTTCTATTTATTTTTTTAGAGAAATATTCCAAAGTTTTTGAAAAAAAAACAACGAAGAGTAACAAGAATGGTAAACTATTTCTGCACTTATGAATTTATATTTCATAAGACTTTGTCTATTTTAGGTTATAGTTGTAACGTTAGTATTTGCTATGTGCTGGCTACCTATTCATACACTTGAATTAATGAAATGTGCTAATTCAATAATACTTTATAATCTTGCTCAATCCTATCCAAAATTTATTTATACAATACGTGCATTTGCACATGCCTTAGCTTATTTTAATTCATGTTTAAATCCGTATTTATACGCTTTATTAAATCGTAATTTTTGTTTTGATCTTATCGATATAATTCCAACATGTTTCAATTGTTGTAAACAAAAAGAAGTATTTAAACTTCGAACATCAAATCCATTAACGAAAGCTGTATCAACAACTGCAATATCAAATAGAAATCTTCATAAAAAACCATTTGATAATGATGATGATGAAGAAGATGATGATGATACATATTATCATGATACAGATAAACAAACAAATGTTGATGTTAGCTGTCAAGTTGAATTACTTCTACTATGAACTAATTTATTTTCTTTTTTGTTAATTTTATTAGAAATACAAAAAAACTAAGAACCACAAGAGAAAATTTAATATTATAAATTTTAGCAGCGGCTGGTTTATCACAGGTATATCAGTTTGTCATAAAAAATACAAAAGAAAAGAGATTATTTGCTGAAATCATTTGTTCACAAAAGAAAACAAAATCATTAGTTATCAGCTGGTTATAATATACAAGAAATCTAGCATGAGATATATTCGTTGTCATAATTAGCTCGATTAAGTTCATTCCAACGACGTGAATGATTTCGGTTCGAATAACGAAGTGATACAAGATGTCCAACTTCATCCATAGCTTTCAAAGCCTAAAAGAAAATTTTTCATATTATATAAATCGATAAAAATTTTAGATTATATATTTACATGATCAAGCATTTCTTTGGTATGACCAGCTGATATACAAAATCGAACACGTGATTCAGTAAGTAAAGTAGCTGGAAATCCAACAGTAACAACGGCACAACCACGTTTTAACATTTCACGATTAACAGCTCTAAAAAATAAATAATTATTAATTAATTCATATTTTGTGTTTGGTATAGAATTAAATCTTACGCTATTTTAGCAGGCATGAAAATCATAACAGGCACAACAGGTGAATTATCATTTCCATATACAATGAAACCCATATCAACAAGTTGTCGACGAAAATAACGTACATTACAAGCTAATTGTTGAATACGTTTTTGGCCTAAACAAAAAAAACAATAGATCGATCGATCAGAAAACCTAATGTCTTACCATCGTTTGTACCATCAAGTCCCATAATTATACTCAATGCAGATATTATTTGATATACAACAGGTGCTGACATACTCAGAGAATAACATCCTGAATGTGTATATATCCGAATATGATCAATTAAAGACTAAAAATATTCTAATTTAACACCATATTTTATGAATACAAAAAAATTCTTACTTTTTTTCCTGCAATATATCCACCAGCTGATCCAAAACTTTTAGTAAATGTTCCCATATGAATATCAATATCATCAGGATCAACATTCCAATAATCAACAACACCACGACCTCGTGAACCAATAGCACCAATCGAATGTGCTTCATCCACATATAAATAAGCTTTATATTTTTTCTTTATTTCAATTATTTCAGGTAATTTACATAATGAACCTTCCATACTAAAAAATAAAATAATTATATTATACGTAAAATAAAAATAAAATATTTTATCTACCTATAGACACCTTCAACAATGATTAAAATTTTTTTCCATGGTCGACATGTACGCGGTTGTCCATGAATAATAGCATTACGTAATTGAAATTCCAAATCTTTGATATCTATCATAAAAGAAAAGGATCAATAATAGTTTCTTAACTATAAAATAATTTACCATTATGATTAAATGTACGAATAACTGCTCCAGATAATCGAGCACCAAGTATAAGTGAAGTATGATTAAGTCTATCGCTAAGTATTAAATCACCCTATTAGAAAAAAATAATTCAATTTTTATTTACATAACAAAGTAAAAGATTTACCTTTCCAGCAAGGGCAGGAATATTTAAAGCATTAGTAGCAAAACCCATACCAAATGCAATACAATCTTCGACATTTAAATATTTCGCCATTAAATCTTCTAGTTCGATCATATATTTTTGTGTACCTAATTCATGACGTGTACTACATGTTGTAAGACCATATTTTTCAATTGATTTTATTGCTTGTTCAGAACATGGACCTGAATTTTCAGCAAAACCCAAATAATTATATGAACCTAAATTAATTGATGGTAATTTTTTTCCAGTAAATCTAGATTAGAAGAAATAAAATTAATAATTTTTTATAGAAAAAAATTTTTGTTGCTTACTTAAATGTCCAATTAAAATCATCGGAAATACGTTCCATAACGTCAACTGTAGCTCCAGCAACACTTGCAATCGGTTGATTAAATACATCACGTATACGTGTATATAAATTTCGCGTATAAAAACATTCATAACTTTGATAAAGTGGAACAAAATTCTATTTAAAACAAGAAATGTTTTCTTTTGGTTAAGAAAAAAATAAATAAAATACTTTAGGATTTGGATCTTGAGAAGTTTTTTTATTTTCTATACCAATATTTCGAAGAAAATCACGTAACCATCCAAGTAAACTAAGTATTGCATACCCAAGGACAGTAATAACAGCAGTCCATGTTGGTGTTTCTTCAAATTCTTCATGAAATTGATCTGATACAGATAATTTCTAGAACAAAAAAGAAATTGTTTTCTTGTTTTAATAAAATTTAATAATCACTGTATTAGTTATTACTGATGATTTATTTTTCATATCAGTTTTTTTCGATTTTTTTGCTGCTGTCATCTGAAATAAATTTTGATACACTAAAAAATGATGAGGGGATGGAAAAAATTGTATTTCTTTTATATAAAAATACACCGTCATACTTTTAAAAGAATTATTTCGTTACTATCGCAACTTACCTCACTAGTTACAATAACAACATTTATTTACATTATGAATATTACACAGTCGCAACAGGGCATACTATTTTCAGAATTTGCACCGATCGAGAAGAAGAAGAAGAATAAGAAAAAGAAAACTTTTCTCGATTGTTGAAGAACATTAACAAACATTTTAAGAGTAGCAACGCAAATGACATTAGTAACTCTTATGTTAGGGGAGCCATCATCTTTTATTCGCGTTACTTTCTTTTTTTCTTTACGTGTGAGTAGTTATACATTTGTCATTCGAATTCTATATTTATAAGAAGATTAAAATAATGAAAAAAAGAACAATTCAGTTTAATTTAAAACCTTACTCGTATTCGTTTTCTACTCAAAATGGATATTAGAGAAGAACAAAAAAATAACGAAAGCTTATCGAAACGTGACCGTAAAATAATATATACATGTGTATAACATCGATACATACAACTATCGGTTACTAGTGGACACAAAAATCGGATACAAAATTGGGAAGAATAAAAGAAAGAAGAAAGAAAGGAAAAAAAGAAAGAAAAGAAAGATCAATTGTTTTATTTATGATCCGTTTACTTCTCTTTTCATCCTATATGCTCATAATATATAATGGACTACTGTATCTCATTTGATTAACAAGAAAAATTGGTAGTGAATTTAAGTATAACATTGAATATGAGAGGCGTATTGAAATGAAATAAGTCTATATTCAACTACCTCCAGAAAAAATATTGATTAACAAAATAACTTGACGTCATCATTTTTGTACTCTGAAAAAATGATCGAGAAGATAAAAATAGCAATTCTATATTTCGTAAAATTAAAAGAGAATATTCTAGATTGAAAAACTTGATTGGTGATCGAACTTATGATTATTTTCTTTTTTTTTTCTTAAACACTTCATAAATAAATGAACAAAGGATAACAAATATTAAATTGTGTTGATAGAAGAACGATTTATTGTCTTAAGTTTCATGCATGTATAATGACAAAACGAAAAGATTGCGCATGTTAATATTAAACTACGATCTTTTATGTATCACCTCCGCAAATTCCGCCTCTCCTTTTTCTTCCAAATAAAAAAATATATCTTAATATAATCTAAGTAATATTCATATGATTGAATTACTCTGTATATTATTCATGATATTAAGATATAAAGTCAATAAAAATTCAAGATCTGAAAACGTGTGAAATTTGAATAAATGTGTTTAGAAAAAGAATGATTTACGATGAGTCAGAATATACGTACATACTTTTAGTATCGTAAAAATAAAGTTCGTAATAACAAAAGCTGTAATATGGTTTCTGTCAAATTTATTCATAATTACTAATTCTCAATTTGTTAAGAATTGTGATGGTCTTATATTAAGACAGTAGAAAATAATACAATTTTCCATATTTGTGCGTTTAATTGATATAAAAAATTCGCGATTAATTACACATCTTTCTCAAAATGAATGAACAAATTGTAATAGATTTTATATATATATGCATACCTAAATAGGTTTATTGCTTTCGACGTGTAGAAAATTTTCTTTATTTGATTACTGTCCTAATATCTTAGAAAAATATTTATTATGGATTTGCATATTTTTTTTTTCGACATATTCTGTACGAAAGAATATACTTATCATTAGTAAATAATATTTTCTTCCAATCATTGTAATAATTCACAATCACATTGTCAATTCAACTTTAAATCATCAGAACACTAGGTATGTCCATTTTTATCATTACACGATTTCTACACTTTTCTATAGTCAGATGTATTTTCGTAATATTATACTTGTCAATGATATTCAATATTAAAATCATGGAGAACGTCATTTTTGTAATATTTTTATAATCATACTCTAATGAATGATATTAGATATCGTATCCTGATGTAACAATTTTAGTCAGACCCTGACACATGTGATTAATTTTGATACTAAAACAAATATCTAAGAATGACTTAGATAAATTACTCATTAGTATTGACTTTGAGATGTCGACACATACCAGTAACTGGATTCTATAATGAAACTGTTGGTTGGCTTTTGTAAAAATTTTAATAGTGCTATATTTATGTCATGGAAAATTAATGTGTTATATGACTTTATATTTATATAATTAAATTAATAGGTGAAAATATTTTAATGATATTAAACATATCAATCAATATTTTTTTCTTCTTTCTACAATTTACAGAAAATCTTGGATAGTATTTTACTTCGAATAGTTTTTTTTTTGTTATCATATCAGTCAGATAAACTGTTATCGTACTTCAAATAACAGAAAGAAAAAAAAGTACAAGTCTGTAAAAGATAATGTAAAGGCGTAATAGAGAAGAAATGTGCACGTTCTTTTCTTATTTTTTTCTTATTTATAACTTACTTTATAATCGCTGATACTATTTTGTTCTTTTAGATCAAAAGTATGACTAAGAATAAGTTATCTTCGAATGATAATTATACAACACCAGTAGCTGAACATCCATCATTAGAAGAAGTTTATGAAGCAACACCATTCTCTGAAGCATTTTGGACTTATGTCAACTATATTATTTTAAATATATTTGGTTGGTTTCGTGATTTTCTTCGAAAAACACGAATTGAAAATCGAAAAGGTTCAGCGGAAAATAATCCACCAGTAAAATAAAATTAATAATTCATTGATTTTATTTATTTATATTTATATATTATCCTAGGGTTTTGTTCCATTGTATCAAAGTTATGAAAGTTTCTATACACGTAATGTTTATCAACGTATTGCTGATTGTTTCAATCGACCAATTGGTAGTGTACCTGGTGGTAAACTTGATCTTCTTGAACGTGTTACTGATGATTATAATTGGTCATTTAAGTAAGATTTTTACTTTTTTTTCTTTCTTGTTAAGTTTCATATTTAGATTTACTGGTGATAAAATTACAAAGATTAATCTTGGCTCATATAATTATCTTGGTTTTGCAAATAATAATGGTCAGATAGCAAATAATGTTATAAATTCGATAAAAACGAATGGTGTTGCAACAGCAAGTACTACACAAGAATTTGGTATGTATATTGAATTTTTGTTTTTTTTTTCAAATTTAATTTATTTTCTAGGAACTTTAATACAACATCGTAAACTTGAATCATTACTTGCGAGATTTCTTGGTACTGAAGATGCAGTTGCATTTGGTATGGGATTTGCAACAAATGCACTTAATATACCATCCATTGTTGGAAAGGTTATTTTTATAGAATACAACAAAAATATATATAATCTTGTTTTTTAAAGGGCTGTCTGATATTGAGTGATGAACTTAATCATACATCACTTGTGCTTGGTTCTCGTCTATCTTGTGCTACCATTAAAGTTTATCGACACAATGGTTGAATTATTATCTAAATAATTTTGTTGTTTTGATATTTTTATTTATTAAATTTAGATATGGAACATTTGGAACGATTATTACGAGAAGCAATTGTATCCGGTCAATCACGAACACATCGACCATGGAGAAAAATTTTAGTTATTGTCGAAGGAGTATATAGGTATGATATGAAAATATAAATGATCATATTTAATTATTCGAAATTCTAGTATGGAAGGTTCACTATGTAAATTACCGGAATTAATTGAACTTAAAAAGAAATATAAAGCATATCTATATTTGGATGAAGCACATTCAATTGGTGCAATGGGTTCGCATGGTCGTGGTGTTGTTGATTATTGGAAATGTGATGTTAATGATGTTGATATACTTATGGGAACATTCACAAAAAGTTTTGCTGCTGCTGGTGGTTATATTGCCGGAAAGAAAGTATGATAAGATAAGATTTTTCCCTGGAAAATTTACGTTTTTTTTTATCAAAAAGGAATTAATTGATCATATTCGTGTATCATCTCATGCAGCTGCATATGCAACATCAATGAGTCCACCAGTTATTGAACAAATTGTTTCTGTATTAAATTTATTAATTGATGAAAATGAAGAACATGAAGGTTTAGATATAAAAATAAATTTTAAATAGAATACTCACATTTAATATAGGTCGTAAACGAATAAATCAATTAGCATGGAATACAAGTTATTTTCGACAACGTCTTTCTAAAATGGGTTTTATTGTCTACGGTCATCCACATTCACCTGTTGTACCAGCTTTATTATATAGTCCATCGAAAATCGCGTAAGTTAGGAAAAAATCTTTTTTTTATGTAAAAGGAGAAAATTTATTTTTGTTTATCAGCGCATTTAATCGTGAAATGTTAAAACGTGGTGTTGCAGTTGTTACAGTTGGTTTTCCAGCAACACCATTAGTACTTGGTCGTGTACGTTTTTGTCTTTCAGCATCACATACAAAAGAAATGCTTGATGAAGTACTTAAATATGCTGAAGAAGTAGGAGATTTACTTAATATGCGTCAATCAAAATTAAATCCAAAAAAATCATTTCATGAAACAGAATTCTAATATGAAGCAATCTAATAATGATTTAGAAGAAAAAAATTCTGTGAAAAAAAAAACCAAAAGTGATTTTATGTAATTAATATGTGATACATTTGTTGATCTTTGAAATCTTTTTATTATCTTTATTTGTTGTGAAAACTTTTTTCATTGCTTTGTGATACTCTATCTATTACATCTTGTATTTATATGATTATTGTTCTTTCTTGCTTTCGCTTAAGACAATATGAACAATTTGTAATAGTATATGCTAAGATATTGCTTGCTGTTTTGCCATTGAAATATATACATACATATATATGTGCTAGAGAAATTTGAAGATTGATTATTTTCTTAATCGAATTGATAAGTATCTAGTTCATTGAATAGACTTTAGAGAATAAAATGATAGATTAATTTTGAGTACAGTGTTTTATCTAGATTTCGTTTTTCTGATGGGCGGCGCCGACCTGCTGGATAGACCACTGTTTGAGACTATACAGTATGAAAAAGATCTTTATTGTTGTTTGATAATACAACAAACTAATTAGTTGGATTGTTTTTGAGAATGTTTTGATGTCTAATACGTACATATTGCTCTTAAATATTAATGAATGATTTTAAATGATTTACCCTATTACCACATAATTAAAGTGTTTTCCTTCTCGACAGCTGTTCATATATGAGTAAGAGTTGATAGAGACCACAGAAGTTAAATATTGATATGTCTCAGTTTCATTAATAAAAAAAAGAGAAGAATATCGAGTGTATAGCATTTACTTAATTAAAATATCATCTGTAGTTAATGAAATAGAGTTTTAAATTTTATTTTTCCATATTTCAACGTTGATTAACTATCTTTGTGAGCATGTGAAATAAATCTCTATACTAATCCAATCGAAATCAGTAATAAAAATGACAAAAGATTTATTTATGATAGAACTGATTAAAAAAATTCTCATAGATACGTTAAGATGTTAATATCTTAAAATATAATTTGTATAATCAAAAAAAAGTAGCATTTAAATCGAGTCTTTATTGAAATAGAATTTATTTCTTCTCTTCATTTTCTTCAATATACATCTTTCGAAGTGCTCGTAAGAGTTGTCGTTTTAATTTTTCATCTTTACATCTAGTTTGAACATCTGTTTTTAATGTATGATATCCAACTGTATTTGCTGCATATGTTCCATCACTAATAGTATCTGTATTATATTTTGACCATGTTAAACCATGATTAATTACACCTTGCAAGAAACAGTTTACTGCCGGAATATCAGTTGGATCTAAAAGAAAATGAATTTAATTAAAAAAAGGGATATGTATATAATTACTTTTCGAAAGACACATTTTATTACATAAAATTGCGTTATTTTCATCTCGAATTTCAAATTGAAAACCATGACCAATGACTAGATCAGCATCAGAAGCTAAAACTTGATCGGCTGGATTTGGTAATTGATAATAAGATCCTCTAATATATAAACGTACTTGACAAGTTTTTGCAAGATTTTCTAACGGTTTAACACGTTCATGAAAATCTTCATGAATTAATAAAGGATCGCCTGTTATGTACGTATTCGATTTATATTTTTTTATTTGGCATTTTGGTGATGCTAGAAGAAAAAAGATTTTAACAAAATTTATAATATTCCAGAATAAACTTACAACTAAACAAGAAGCCTTCCGTAAAAGTTGTAGATAATAAAAAAACGAGAAGGATACGACCTTGCATTGTTTTTTCCTGATTTGATATACTCGTTTTACAAAAAACGTATTTTTTTAATGATTATAGTGATAACTTTATATATCTGCACATTTATATTTTTATCGCTTCCACTTATAGATCACTTTTGTGTTTTTTATATTCCTCATAAATTAAAAATTGATATTCGTGTTCTATGATTCATCGAAAAAAAACCGAAATTACAACGGTAAAAATATTTGATATTTATTTTTATTCCAAAGTACAATTTTTTATAATGGAATTAGTGTACATATTTATTCAAACCATCTATAAGTATTTTATTCATCACGAACATTATATCGATTTCGTAAATATAAAAGAACAGAAAAAACAATGAGACATATAGTAGATAAAGCTAAAACTCCAGCAACTATAAAAGCAATTATTGCTGCTGTTCGCCATTTTATCATATTGATCTCTGTTTTCAAGAATATATCTTGAGAACAATTTGAATCAGTAATCGATGATGTTTCTGCTGATAAAGATGTTGATGCTGTTGATGATGAATCGGCTAAAAGATGAATTTTTTTAAAAAAATATACTATAAATTAACTCGTACTTGGTGGAGTATCTGTAAATTGAAATATTGCCCATTCAAAACCGCTCTTAACAGTGGCAAATGTCACATTAAATGGTACTCCATTGTAAATTATACATTTAATGTACATAAATGATGTGACTTGATTATATTCAAAAGGAATATATGTGGATGGACATTGTACATAGATCTTATCGAAATTTTTATCTGGAGGACTCCATTCAATAATAACAAAACGAGTACCATTAAAATCAGATGAATAAAAATGACTTTGATATTGACAAGTTGGAAGTACTAGAAAATTAAGAAGATTTAACTGATTTTTTCTATTTAAATTTTATTTTAATTTACATGTATTTGTCTGAATACTTGATGATCGTTGAATAATATTAAAAAAACTCCCTACTAACATGGTGATAACATAAATTGTACCTTCTTCAAGTGATTGACATACATATTCATTTGATCGAATATCAATTTGAATAGGATTTGCATTTAAACCACATTTTATATTATATTCGAATGTATTTGTTAAAAATGAATCATTATTATATTGCCATCGAACTGTAATACTTGTTTCTGTTCTATTAAAAACTTCAAATATCGGTATTTGAGGTACTTGTGGAACTAAAATAAAATTAAAATATACAAGTAAAAACTATTTCTAGAATTTCTCATAGATACCATCCAATATCGCAATAACCATTCGATCATGTATATAACCAGGTATAGCTAATCTTGTTTCTACAGAAATACTATTCGTTTCATTAAAGGTTATATTTTCACAAACATATGTTGTATTTCTACCGACATTTCTTGTCAAATTATTATTTGAATTACATGAAACAATATATTCGATTTGATCATATGAAGAATGTGAATCACTCCAACTAACAATAATATTATGATAATTTTCTTCTATATGTAGGTTTATTACTGCAAATGGATATAACATATTTGATACTAAATTAAAAAAAAATGATTTAGTTGAAAAAAAGTAAATGTTAAATTAATATACTTGGCGATACTATTGAACTTGATTCAGCATACATTGTTGCATTGACAATATGTGTAAAAATAATTTTATGTTCAAGATTTGGTATAAGACTATAATTGAATGATATACCTAAATTTGGTAAAAGATTGACTATTGTTGCTCTTTTGTATATAATATGTTCATCGTTTTTATCGAAAAATATCAATTGAAATTCATATGTACTATTTAAATTCATTAATGGTGGTGCATATGCTCTTATAGTTAGTAAACGTGAATCAAGAGAAAAATCAAATGGAACAGGCAATGGAACTAGAATATTAAAAAAAATATGTTTAACTTGATTATTAATTTATTTAATTACCTTCTTGACTAATATGATTAACTGCGGTACGAAAATCTTTTTTAATAGTTTCGAGTATAAAACTCATAAGTGGTAGATTTGGTATAAATGAACAATCGACTGTAATTATAGAACTGTTCAATGGTGTGCTAGTATTGAATATTAGGTATGATTCATTATTCGAACATTGAACATTAACATAATCAAAAGATCCCATTGGACGATTAATACCTAAACGTACTTTATCACCAGGAACATTAAAAAATGCTAAAGTTGGTTCGCATAATTCTAAAAGAAAAATTTCAAATATAAACAAAATATACTATTCATTTATAGACCTATAGTATATGCTATGGTACAAGGTTGTATAGTTCCATTATCATGTTGCATTTCAATAAATATTTCACCTTCTTGTCCATATCCTAATCCAACACATTGATGTGCACATCCATAGACTGTTTCTTCTGTAGAAGTTGGTGTACATTGAACTTTTCGATTCAATTTTAATAGATCATTTGATGAAAAATTTATTGTCACAGCATCATTTTGTTGAGAATATGTGATATTATAATTATCGCATGTAACTGAATATTAAAAGTATGAAGGAAAAAAAGTTGTTATCTACTCTTGTAAAGTTCAACTTACCTGCAGCAATATTTTCATTTTGAAAAATGAATATTAGCAATATTAAAATCGTATATTTAGAAGTAAATATTTTCATCATATTTTAAAAAGTTTGAGAACAAGATTAGTAATCTTGTAAGTACAAAAATGATTTTATATATGCATTATAAAACAAAAAAGAGAAATAACTTGAGTTTCAATTGTAAATATTGATTTCTTCTCATATTTTGTTTTACACCATTCGAAAACTTATGTTCTTATTGATCTAACAAAGTATTAGTCATGTTTTGTACTTAAATATTTGCTTTTCATTCTTATTATAATTTCTATTTTAAAATGAACAATTTTACTATAAGTTTTTAATATGTTAAGTGATTGTATAAACTCAATAATCTATATATTTGATCGTAATTTATTTTAAACAACTATAGTTGCTTCTATATTTCAATTTTCTCTATAAAATTTGAGGTACTTTTCTAATGTTCCATCACTTATATTCTTATCATACGAGAAGAAAATTGACGGCAAATATATGTATAAAAAACTCATTAATACAAACGCCATTAATTGTTATGTAAATAATATACTTGTCTATTGTTTTTATCACCAGCTAATGTTAACGGTATATAGTATTTGAATTTAATTTTCGTTTCTCTATCACGCGTATTCTTGAAAAATCGATTGAGATGGATGTAGCTTTTGCGAAAATGGTTCTTGTTGCATTTGTATAAACAACTGTTCGCTATACAAAATTACTAAATTGAATCATTTTTTAGTACTTTTGTGTAAGGACTTACGAAGATCCCAAATGCCTGTTTACTTATCACTAACATCAATCTCTCAGAACGTTCAAAGAATCCTTTATTATTCTACGATAAAATAGTTCTATTAACAGGAATTTTTTTATACAAATTTGACGGAACTTTCCATAACGCATGTCTCAAAAGAAAAAGCAATTCAAATACATACATATATATATTCAATAATCAAGTAAATAAAAAGCAAAAAGTTCATTTCAGGAACATTAGTATAGATTTAAATGATACATAAAACAAATACAATATTAATCATTAGATTTGATATTTAATCAAGATTTTTTATTTGATAAATATTAAGAAAATTTAATCATAAAAAATACAAAAGACAAACTAGTTTATTATGTTTTTAAGAGAAAAAAAATAAGAAAGTTTCTTTTATATAATTTCTATTGTATAAAAAAATAATATTTCCTATCATACAAGTAAATATTTTTTTGATCTTTTATTAATCACATGTATATTCTGTTTACTTAACTCATATTGAAAATAAAATATGAGAAAATATAAATTATTTCTAATATTTGCATTTTTATAGAAATTTATTTTGAAAAATAAATCAAATCTAAAAAAATGTAAGAATAATAATCAAGAGTTAATTTTGTATTAATCAATTTTATGAAATTAGAATGATTTCTTTTTGCTATTCAAAATTTTTGTGTTTTAATTGCTGATTTTCTTCATGTAGATTAGTTTTCTTGAATTTATTCTATTATTGAATTATTCAATAAAATTTTACATATAGACAAGTTTATTTTAAAACTAAAAGCAAACAATGTATTTCCGATTACAAATGATATAAAACATAAAATAAGTATGAACAATAATAATAGAATATTTACTATATTAAACTATATATATATATATATGTATATCTTCTAATCGTAATTAGGTATACTTTCTTTATATGACATTATATAATTTCTAATATAAAAAATATACTTTAATCTTGAACTATTTAAATTGCATTGAGCATCCAGTCACCGACGAAGAAATAAGAAGCGTGAAAATATAATAAAACGAAATAATAAATCATCCAAACTGTCATAATATAAAAAGAAGCGATAATATGTCAAATCATATAAAATAAACAGTGAATGATATCTATTCAGATTGTATAAAATACGAAATGTATTCAAAACAAAAAATCTATACAAATATTTCATTTATTTTTACAATAACAAAATATCGATCGTTTTAACTTGTTTGAATATCTATTTTTTATTTGAATTTATTTAGAAGAAATAAAAAAGTAATTTAAAAATAATAGGTGAATAGAAAACATTTGTTAATTGATCATAATTACATATATAATTTCTTTTTTTGATGTATATGTAATTTATAATAAATCTATAAGACATCTCGTATTTGTTTTTTTCTTTATTTTTCTAATTTATTTTTGATTTGAATAAAATACAATAATATTCGATAATAGACATTGATTGTTTTGCTTATTTCAAGCATCATTTATTATTCCCTTTCATACAAACATATAAAACAAATGATAATGGATAGATATAACAAGAACAATAAAAATTAAATATATATATGACCAAAGTACCAACAACACATAATAGGTGAAATAAAAGCATTAATATGAATACATTATTGATTGATAAAAAATATATGTCATTAAAGAGTAATGTATTTTTATTTGAACAAAATATTTAATAAATGATAGTTGGTTAAAATCTCTTTCGATAGAAATTTTGTTTTTTAAAAAGTATAAGGACTATTTAGATCTATAGAGATATATAATACGTGTTGAATAACATTATTCTAAAGATCATAATCAAGATTCATAATTAAAAATGTAATAATACTAAAATTGTGATGTTAGTATAAGTATTATTCATTTGATTTTTCTGTAGAATATTTATATAAGAAATAAAGGTATTTCTCATCAATTAATAAAAAATATTTTCGAAAACAAGAATATTCATTTTTCTATTTAGATTTTAAATTTTTTCAAGTAAACAAATTATATCATAGGTGCTTATATCTAGAAAATGTTTTTAAACAACAACATGAAAGATATTTTTTATAAGAAAAATTTCTTATTTTAGTCAATCACATAAAAGAATCTGCTTCATGGTTCGATAAGCATGAATATTTTACCTTTGATTAATATAAAAAATTTTGCGTTATTTTATATATTTCTTTTCTCATAAACTAAATACATTTTACGGTTGGTAAATATTGTAGATTTGAATTCTTTTCGAATATTTTTCTGATATATTATACATAAATATTGAGATATATTGTATAGTGACCTGACCTAGCTACCTTTTCTGTTCTACTTTTCTCTCTTTCCTTCGTTTTATCTATCTGTTATACATATATACTTTTTATACTCACCTGTTTACATCTCGAATGAATATCTTTAGTGAATAACAAGAATTACAACAATAATTCTTCTTATTTTATTCATTATCTTAAACCAAGGGAAGACGCTTCTTGAATCCTTCTCTGATTTGTTTCTCACACCTACACATACTTCTTTTTCATTTCATTAACAAATATTAGGCGAGAAAAAGAAAACTTGTGAAATAAATAGTAAACAGTACTAGAAGATACTTATTATATTATTACTGCAATGGTTAGAAAATAGATATGATTAATTAAAACTCTAGTATTGTTATTATAAAATGAGAAAAATACATAATAATTTGTGCTAGTTTAATCTGATTTGTATATATCTGTTATTAAGACAAGAAAATCTAACGCTTTTAACTCGGTTATGAATTATTTGTCTCGTCGGTAAAAGTATTAATAAAACAGATTTTTTTTTAGAAAATTTTACTTTAAAAAAAAATATAATTCTTTATAAAATAATATTTTTATTATAGATTATAATGACTTCTGTGGATATTGAGATATCCACATTAGAACATCGAAACGAGCAAATATCTTCTGATAGCAATTCAAGAAGATCTTGCAATTCAATTCAAAATCAACATCCTGTCGAAACTATTGCCAATGTTCTTCCAAAAACCATTAGAACTCCATCGAAAACGTAAGTCTAATTTATTTCATTTTCATGTATAATTAACATTTATCATCATTAGATCAAAGCATCGTCCGCATAAGTCCAATTCTAAGAAAATACTCTTCATATTTGTTGTGTTCACACTCATATCAATGATCATTGGCATTTTTACAGTTTGTTTTTCATCACCGAAGCCGTTAGGTATGATATACATCTCTTATACTCATTCAATCATATTCACTTACATTTCATATTATATTTTTTACATTATTTAGGTAAAACGTGTACGTTTATTTTGAAATCAGAAGCTCCCAGTTTAATTGTTAGTGATTCTCATCCGCATTCTATTGCTGTTGCTGATTTTAATAATGATTACCTTCCTGATATTGTTGTTCCTTATTCTGGCACAAGTAGTTTAGGAATATTTCTTCGACAGGACAATACTACATTTAGAAATCAAATCACATATTCAACTGGTTCCAATTCACTTCCATATGCTGTCTGTGTTGGTGATTTCAATCATGATCAACAAATAGATATAGCTGTAGCTAATTTTGGTGCTAATAATATTGGTATTTTTCTAGGGAAAGGTAATGGTAGTTTCATGTCACAAATCACTTTTTCTACTGGTTCATCTCGTCCACGATGGATTGCTGTTGGTGATATGAACAATGATAAACAACTTGATATAGTCGTTGCAAATTATGGTACTAATGATATAGGCATTCTTTTTGGAGATGGTACTGGAAATTTTGTAAAACAAAACACATTTTCAACTGGTTATGATTCTATTCCATATTCACTTGTTATTTCTGATCTTAACAATGATGATAAACTTGATATTATCGTTGCAAATCATGGTACTAACAATGTTGGTATATTTTTTGGACATGGAAATGGTTCATTCGAAAGCCAGTTCATAATTAGTACTGGATTTAAATCTCAACCATATTCAGTTGCTGTTAATGATTTAAATAATGATAGTTACATGGATATTGTAGTTGCTTGTTCTGGTTTAAATACAATTGATGTTCTCTTAGGCTTTGGAAATGGAAGTTTCACAATACCATACAAATATTCAACTAATAATAATTCATTTCCATTATCGCTGGTAATTGGTGATTTTGATAATGATAATCAACTTGATATTGCTGTTGCAAACTATCAGGGCGGAAGTGTGGGTATATTTTTTGGATATGGAAATGGAGTTTTTACAGATCAAATGATATTCTTCAGTGTTAGTTACAATTTTAATCCATATTCTATTGCTGGTGGTGATTTCAATGGTGACAATCAATTAGATATTGCTGTTGTCAATTACGATTACAACTATGTTGATATTGTTCTTACATATCGAAATTATACTTTCTTAAGTCAAAATACCTATTCAACAGGCAATGACAGTAGTCCGGTTGCAATCGCTGTTGCTGACTTTAATAATGATAAGCAACTGGATGTTGTCGTCGCCAATTCTGGAACAAATACTATTGGTATATTTCTTGGGTATGGCAACAGTACTTTCTCACCTGAAATAACTTATTCAACTGGAGACAATTCTCTACCGAATGCAGTTATTATTGGTGACTTTAATAATGATCAGCAACTGGATATTGTCGTCGCTAATTCTGGAACGGATAATATTGGTATATTTCTTAATTATGGTAATGGTATTTTCTCAAGTCAAACTAACTATTCGACTGGCAACGGGTCTACGCCGTATGATGTTGCTACTGGTGATTTTAATAATGATGGACAGCTAGATATTGCCGTTGCTAACTATAATGGTTGGAATATAGGTATATTTCTAGGATATGGCAACGGTACTTTTTCCAGTCAACAGACCTATACAACTGGAAATTACTCTGCACTTTTGTCTATTGCTATTAGTGATTTTAATAATGACAATCGATTAGATATAGCTGTTATGAACTATGGAGGTGAAAATGTAGGCATATTTCTGGGATATGGCAATGGTACTTTTGCACATCAAATCTACTTTTTTGCTCCAGCTGCCACTGGTCCATTTGATCTTGCTATCGGTGATGTGAATAATGATGATCACCAAGATATAATCGTTACTACTCTTTACGGTGAAAGTATGCTTATTTTCTTGGGATACGGTAATGGAACATTTGCCCATGGAAATACATATTCTACTGGTAGTGGTTCTCAACCAGTATCAATTGCTGTTGGTGACGTAAACAACGACAATCAACTAGACATCGTTGTGGCCAATTGTTTCATTGGCAATGTCCTAGTATTTATTGGAGAGGGTGATGGAACGTTTTCTAATCAAAGAACTTATTTAACTGGCAACAATTCTTGTCCAAATGCCGTCGCTCTTGGTGACTTCAATAATGACAACATTCTAGATATTGTCGTTACCGGTTTTTTTACGAATACAATGAGTGTTTTTCTCGGATCTTCTTATATGACTGGTATAGTTGAACATACATATTCAACTGGATCTTCTCCATATCCACGTGGTTTAGCTCTTGGTGATTTCAATCATGATGGTCAATTAGACATCGTCATTGCTAACTATAACTTAAATAATGTAGGAGTACTTTTAGGAAATATAAATGGAACATTTCCATTACAAACAGTATTTTCCACTGGTACCTTATCTTTTCCAACTTCAGTTGTCGTTGATGATCTAAATAATGATAACGAATTAGATATTATTGTGGCTAATTCTGCAACTGAAAATGTCGGCATTCTTTATGGATATGGAAATGGTAGTTTCACAAATTTAAATATGTATTCAACTGGAGTTGGTTCTATTCCACAAGCAGTAACTACTGGTGATTTCAACAATGATAAGAAAGTTGATATTGTTGTTATTGATTCTGGCACTGATAGAATACTAACACTTATCAAATACGATACTGGAAGTTTTCGAAAACAAGTAACATTTTCCACAGGTACGGATTCTGCTCCGGACGCAGTAGCTGTTGCTGATCTAAACAACGATGGTTGGTTAGATTTCGTGTCAGGCAATTCCGGCAATAACAATGTGGGTGTTTTTCTAGGACTGGGCAATGGTACTTTTTCCAGTCAAACAATACATTCGACTGGAATCAACTCGTTGCCATATGCGGTTATTATTGTTGATTTGAACAATGACAGTTATTTGGATATAGTTACTGCCAATTATTGGGGTGGCAATGTGAGTATTTTTCTTGGATATGGTGCTGGTACGTTTACAAATCAGACGACTTTTAATACTGGTCAATTGTCTGGTCCGAGCTCTGTCATCAGTGCAGATTTTAATAATGATAGTCGATTAGATATTGCCGTCGCTCTTCAACTCTCTGGTCAAATGGGTGTTTTATTAGGACACGGGAATGGTAATTTTTCTGATACAGTCACCTATTCAATTGGCAATAATTCTTTTCCAGTATCAATCGCTACTAATGATTTTAACAACGACAATCGATTAGATATTGTCGTGGCCAATTATGGCTTTAGCAGTATAAGTATCTTTTATGGGAACGGTGATGGTACTTTTTCTAATCCAACTAGTTATACAACTGGCAATGGTTCATTGCCAAGGGACCTTGTTGTCAGTGATTTTAACAACGATGCTATACTAGATATTGCAGTTGCCAATTCCGGCACCGGAAATATTGGTGTGTTTTTTGGAAATGTTAATCATAGTTTTTATGATCAAATAACTTTTTCAACTGGTCATGGCTCTAGTCCGTTGGCATTAGTCGTTGAAGATTTTAACAATGATAATCAATTAGATATCGCCTTTGTCAGTTTCGGTACCAATTATTTAGGTGTTCTTCTTGGATGTATTAATGGTACTTTTTTTGATCCATTGACCTATTCAACTGGTGATAATTCTCAGCCTAATTTTCTCGGTGTTGGCGATTTTAACAAAGATAAACGTCTCGATATTGTCGTCGCTAATTCTGGTACGAATAATATAGGTATGTTTTTTGGATATGTTAACGAAGGTTTTCTAAATGCACCAGCTTATTCGACTGGATCTTCTTCTCAAGTGACTTCCATAGCTGTTGGAGATTTTAACAATGATACTCGATTAGATGTTGTCATCACCAATAATGCTACAAACAATGTTAAAGTTATATTTGGATCAGGTTATGGTACTTTTGTCAATGATATAACATATTCAAGTGGCAATGCTTCTCAACCGTGTTCGGTTAGTGTTGCTGATTTAAATAATGATAATCGATTAGATTTTGTCGTTGCAAATTCTGGTATTAATACCATTAGTATTTTTCTTAGCAATGGTACTGGTACATTTTCAAATCAAATCACTTACTCTACTGGTGTTAGTTCTCAACCATATTCAGTTGTTATTCTTGATTTTAATAACGATACTCGATTAGATATTGCTGTTGCTAGTTACGGGACTAGTAATATCGGTGTATATTTTGGTTATGGCAATGGAAGTTTTATGAATCAACAAATATTCTCTAGTGGTTTTAATTCACATCCATTTGCACTTGCTATTGGTGATACAGACAATAATCATTTAACTGATATTATTGTAACTAATAATGGATATGGTAATATAGATATTCTTATGAAAACTTGCTAACATGACATTTTTCATTTATTTCTTCGCTTGTTTTTATAACTATATAATGTCTTTTTCAATAGTTCTTACTAATGTTCTTTCTGTGCTTAATGGAAAGTGACTCTCATTTTTTAAATGATTATTTATACATTGTTGATAAAAATATTTTAGATAGAAAATAACAATAAAATGTATATTATCGTATTTTATATAGCTTACTAATTTTTTATTCAACATAACTGGATGATCGAATCAGAAAACATAAATAAAAATACAATACTCATATATATTTTGGTTGAAAACAAGAATACTTTTAATTCATAATATAATGGATATTGAATTTTGTAACTATTACATATATACATAATGATTATCTAAAATATCTCCAGTGTGCATAGGAAATCAAATATCTATACTATCACTCACACCTGCACCCACTGTCTATAACATATTGTCAATAGATATGCATATTTTCAAGAAGTTTTGTAAGAAAACTGAATGTATGACAAAATATTATATTTTTTTATTATTCTATTTATATTTTATTCAAAAAGATTTGAAAAGATATCAGATAGCACAAGTCATTAGAATCATTCTAAATAATAATGGAATAAGAAGTTGTGAATATTATTTAATTTCATTGGAATTATTTTGTTCAATATCAGAAATTTGTAATAAATGAAAAATATCATCAAATGATTTTTTATCATGTGAAACATTTTCTTGTTTAATTAAAGATATTTCATTGAGTAATTATTTTTGTTGTTTTTCAATATCTTTCCACATTTGTTCATTTGTTTGAATAAATAATTAATCAATAGTTTTTGAACCATCTGTAATTTGTTGATAAAGATCATGAATAATTTCATTAAATCGATCAATATGAATTTTAAAAGTAAATAAAAATGATTCTAATGATTCATCAGTTTTTTCATTATTCATTCGATTAAATTCTTTCATTATATTTACTAATGGTTCATACAATTGTATTTGTAATTGTTTATTAAATGATTGTTGTCCAGTTGATAATATTTGAATGAAATTTTGTATATATTGACAATGAATAGTTGTTAATGAATGACGATAGAATGATAATTGTTTTGTTTTTATATTTAATTCTAATTTTAATAAATTAATTTCATGATTAAATGAATGTATAAGTGCATCAAATATTGATTGTAAATAAAGTTTTATATTTGGTGATAAACGAAATTGTGAATTAATTCGTTGACATATTAAATCGGATGTTATTTGTTCAGGAGCAAATGAACATTTTTGATGCTAAGAAGAAAAAGAAAATAATTTTTAATAAAATGCGAAGAATTACATTAAATTAAAATTATTTACTCTAGTAGGAATAAGAATTGATAAATAAAAAAGTTCATTTGTTGTAACATTTATTTTATTCGATAATTCTTTTGAATGTTGAAGTAAGTTTTTATTAAGATTAGGAAAAATACAATGATTTGTTTGATAAAGTAATTCATTTTGAAATGAACGAAGTTCAGAATAAAGATTATATAATGAACTTTCTAAATTAGCCTAATAAAAAATAAAATTATTATCATAAAAACTTCATAGATTCGCTTACAATATTTTCTTAATTAAGATGTTCAATTTTTTCTGAACATATAAAAGATGAACTGGTTGTTGATTAATAAATTTTATACTATTAGGTGCATAGAATGTATCATTATTCGATAGACTTGCATGATCCTTATTAGAATGTATATATAATTGATTAAATGGTGAATCCATGGATACTCGACCACCCTTTTGAAAAAAAGTTTTTTTTCTCGAATTTTTTATCTTAGTTAGCTGTAAACGCAATGAAAAACAACTTTCACCGAGAAACTTTTTACGATTTTTATCTGAAACAGTGAAGGTTTAGGTCATTTTCTCGGAACATCTATGGGAAGTCACCCCGATTATTACACAATATGACGCTCATATTTTGGCCCATGATAGAAAACAACTAGACTCGCACAAACTCTAAAGGATTCTTTTTTTCAATGTGTGAATGTGATATAAATATGATACCCATATCCGCACCCGCACCCTTATAATCAAGTATGAAAACATTTACTTTTAAAATACAAAGCAATATCTTTTTCCGCATTTGAGATACTTAAAGACAGGTGTGAGTGCGAATATTATATTCATCTCGCATCCACATTGGCACCCATCTCCGCAGTACATGACAAAAATGCTAAACAAAAATGATTACCATAATACATATTAGATTTGAAAAGCAATCGTTGTATTTATTGTTTATATAAAAATGATAACACAAGAAAAATACTGGTATGATCATCATAAGCTATTCATTTGTTATTCAAATATATTTAGAATTATGATTCACGATTTATTTTCTCTTCTATTACGTTTAATAAATTCCACGATTTTATACATGGCGACATTGTCATAAAATACCCCTTTCCAGGTTATTAGAGTGGTAAGTGTCTAGATGAAAGCGTAAAGGTAAAGACATGGTATAGATGAAGGAAAAATGACACTTACTGTGTTGTATTGTAACGCATCAGCGAAATGTTGTAATCCAACATTTTTGGCTTGATTATAGTGGAGATTTAGTGTAGTGAGTGTCTAGGTAAGAAGTGCAGGTAAATAGTCGATATAGATATACAGAGAGACTGAGACTTACTGTGTTGTATCGTAATGTATCAGCCAAATGCTGTATTCCAACGTCTCCGACTTGATTACGTCCGACATTTAGTGTGGTTAGTGTCTAGATGACAATGTGGAAGTAGAGACAGGGTAAAGATAAAGAGAGAATGGCACTTACTGTATTATGTCTTAATGCACCTGCTAAATGTTGTGCTCCAACATCTCCGATTTGGTTATAGTCGAGATTTAGTGTAGTGAGTGCCTAGATGAAAAAGTGCAAATAAAGACATACCATAGGTAAAGCAAGAATGAAACTTACTGTGTTGCGTCGTAATGTATCAGCTAAATGTTTTCCTCCAATCTGACCGATTTCATTACATTCAAGACCTAGCGTGGTGAGTGTCTATATAAAAAGGTGCAGATAAAGAGATAATACAGCTGACGAGTAAATAACAGTTACTGTGTTATATTGTAATGCAATAGCCAAATATTGTGCTCCCATATCTCCGATTTTATTACTTTTAAGATTTAATATGGTCAGTGTCTAGATGGAAAATTGAAACTCAAGCGACGATATAGATAAAAACAAAATAATAATTACCGTGTTATGTCGTAAATTCTTAGCTAAATGTTGTGCTCCAACATCTCCGATTTGATTATAGTCGAGATTTAGTATGGCGAGTGCCTAGATAAAAAAGTAGAGGTAAAAACATGCTATAGGTAACGAGAGAATGACATTTACTATGTTGTGTCGTAATCCATCAGCCAAATGTTGTGTTCCAATATGTCCTATTTTATTAGATGCGACATCGAGTGTGGTAAGGATCTAGATGAAAAAGTTGAGATAAAGAGATGATATGGATAAAGCGAGAATGAGAGTAACCATGTTGTATTGTAATGTATCACCGAAATGTTGCGCTCCAACATCATCGATACGGTTACATCGTATTTTTAGTGTAGTGAGTGCCTAAATGAACAGTAAAGGTAAAGAGGCGATCTAGATAAATCGTGAATAACAATACCATGTTGTATCGTAATGCATCAGCCAGATGTTGTGCTCCAATCTTTCCTATTTTATTACATTCAAGAGTCAGTGTGGTGAGTATCTAGATAGAAAAACTTAGATAAAAACATGATATAGCTGAAGAATGAATGACAATTACTGTATTGCGTCGCAATCCCTCAGCCAAACGTTGTGCTCCAGCATCTTCGAATTGACTATACCCGAGATTTAGTGTAATCAATGCCTAGATGAAAAAGTGCGGATAAAGACATAGTACAGATGAAGAGACACAATAGTTGATCGTTTTTATCGAAGGTTATGTCAGTCAAGTGAATGCTGGTAAAATTCAGTTGAAAGGCATATGAATCTTGAAGGTGGGTGTGGGTCAATCTTCATTTCATTTACAATCATGTATGCTTTTAGAGGAGCATCTATCGAAGATTTTTCTTAAAGAAATTTCTAGGGACATGATTTATAACAAAGTAAACTAGTTTATAGGCTATTAATTTCTTTCAAAATCTATTTTCTGTTATCGAAATGGTATGTATAAAACAAATAATAATGCTGTGTTCCTTCTATTTCGTTCTTAACTAAACATTATATGTTTATGACATCACACCTGGTTTGAATCATGGAGTATTTAAGTGAGATTGAAAAGAACGAAAAAAAAAGAATTCATTTTTTCGTAATCATCAGGTATTTATTTTATATTGTCATGAGACAAAAAATGAATTTTTGCAGAGAGATTGATGATTAATAAAGTATTTTGAATGACAAATAAATAAAAGTTTACCTGATATCTATGATAACTGTCTATAATGCTGTTGAACCGTTGACATACGTTCCTCATTGTACATAGAATTGTGAGATCCGATTGATGATCCAGAATTCGATAGAAAAGTTCTACCGGTAACGTAAGAAAGGTAGCGACAGTTTGATTTGCCATTGTAGACTGAATAAAATGTGTTCTGCATCGTCTTATATGTTGATTGTGTATGATGTGCTGTTATTTTTTCTTTCGATTAAATGCGTGAATGTTTGTTCTGTTATTGGTTTCACATTGATGTTGTAATTATGTGTTGAAGAGAAAAAAAATGACAGAATCGACATAACAACTGTACACAACGTTTTTGTTAAGATTGTTTTAGCAATATAAAATGGTATATGATAAAAATGAATACTGTGTTCTCGATAATGATGAGCAAAGGTTGAATGACTTTCTTGTTTATTTTTTTTCCTCAATTAGATAATATTATTTAATCCTGAGGATGAGTGTAGGTATAGGTATCTATTTCCTCTTAACCTACGCCCACATCCACACACTTAAGATCATATGTAATGGTATGGTAATGCTGTCAAACTGCTCTACTGTAAAATATTGAGTGCAGATGAATATGATTTGACTCTTTACGACATTCGTCTGTAGATGAAAGAAAGATGATTTTAATGACAAAAATGTTTTATGTAACTTCAGAGATTTATATTTTGCATTTATATAGTGTAATAATATTTAAATAAGATATTCTCAATATTTTGTTGACTGAAAATATCATATTTTTATTATGAACTTATCCTTTTTTTGAATATTATTCAGATAGAGTACACGATTTACTTACATAGTACTGAAAGTCACATTATCGAAGACCAAAATAGTGGAAGTGAGAATATCGAAAAAAAACTTGTTTTATTTGAAGTCAAGAAAGTCAAATAATGAAATGATATTATTTAAATTATCAGAAGAAAGATAATAGTAATAATCAATATGTATTAACATATCATGAGAGTCAACAGAATACACTCCACACAGAACTGAATTTAGAAGAAAAAAATATTTGAATAACAGTTATTTAACATCGTATGAATACACTTTACAATCGATATTCTAATAATCTCATACACGTTGTCGATTTTCTTGCGAATTTATTATACATAGTTACGAAGAAAAAGAAATAGAATGTATTCGTTTAATAATATTTGATTCTGTTAATTTTAATAGTTCATTACTGCACAACTTTGATTATATTAGTAACATACGAGATCTATACTATAAAACTAAAACAACAATAATCATATTTATTCAGCGTCTTTCGGCATTTTATGAATAGTATTCACTATAAAGATGTCAAGAACTATAACATAAACTTGTCCGAAAACGATTTTGAAGACTAAGTATGAATTTACAATAATAGAAGTTCAATTATTCATATACCACATATTTGGGAGCTATGCTTTATCATGTACTATTCTTTATAATATTTTTTCTTTATTCTAGAAACATAAAAATCTCACTCTGTCATATCTAGAATATTGTTGATAGTTTTACTATATCAAATTTTCAGTGTCTTTTTAGAATATAAATATCTTGTGATGATTCTAGTATGTTTTATATAACAAATAAACCGTGCTAATATATGTTATAAACACAAGATGAAATAATTTATTTTATTAATGCTTTTATAAAAGCTGATAAATTTCATATTCAATTTAAACATATAGTATGTTAAAATATCATCGTTATTTATCAATTGTGCTCTAAGCTTCTTTTTTTTACCATGTGCGCAACTATATGGTTAATAAACACCATCATGAAGTCACTGTATTATGACACTAAATAAACAACATTATTCTTTTTTTACTTTAGAGTATTAGGAA